TAAAGGAAGATCTGCATATGATGGAAAATTTTCTACTTTTTAGATACCTGAACATATTCCAGAAAATGAACAATGGAAAGTTGCCTACATGTTAGGGGCTACCTATGAAATATATTCAAGTTATCTTTCTAATTCATTCGTTGGCATGACCTTTCCTCAGGCTGTTGAGTAAGTATTGTGAATTTTAACGCTATCTATTGACAGTTTATGAATAACTGAAAATTAAAAAAATAAAAATAACTAAAAGCCATTAATTTCTTTAACAACTTTTTGTTGATTTAAGGCTATATTTTTATTTTCATTAAAAATGGAGTCAAGAAGATGGTTGCTTATTGCTTAATTGAATCAAATCTTTTTAAGTAAAAAATGTTTATTATTTATCTTTTTTTTTTTTTATTTAACTAAAAATTTCTCTAAAATGAAAGTTTTTTGATAAAAACATTATTTTTATAAAGAAAAACATTGTTTTGTTAACAGATATTCTTGATACCATCATCCCTCAAAGTCATTAACAATACCAAAAAGACAAGCTCTTTTTCCAAATAAACATTAGCTTTTTCCAAATAAACATTAATTAAAGGTTTACTAACTTTGTTAACTATGAGCTCTGCAGTATTTTGTTTTTTGTAAACCATCTTTACTTAGTCATCTTTATTCAGTAATCCTTATTTCATTAAAAATCTTTTTCAACTATTTATCAGAATCATTTAACTCATTTTTACCTTAAATCTACTTTTCATTTTTACTTCCAACCACAACTCTTTCTTCACAACATTGCCACCACTCTTTTTTACAATAGCTTATATATTTTCATTTTTGAATTTTTTTTTATTTTGTTGTTGACAAACAAGTTTTAATTCATAACAAAAAATCAGTTTATATTTTACTTCAGTGAAACCTTTTCAAAATAATTCTATAGTCAGTTTTTAAAATAACTCTATAGTTGTTTTAAAATAAATATATTTATAATAATATTTTTTTTTATCATAAATAAATAACTATAATAATAAAATTATTAATATATATATAAATATTAAGAAATATGTTGTCCTGTTACTGAATTGCAGATTCAAGTGTCACATTGTGTTATCACTAAAAAAAATTTGTACTTAATTTCCTTGAAACACTTAAAAAAGTGTTATTAATAAAATGATTCGACTCTGTCAATGTAAATATGCGTAAATATAATGAGTAAACAATTTTTTTGCAGGTTGTGTTTTGAAAAACTGAGATTGATGCTGATAGCGGTCCAAATAAAGACAAAAAATGGAAAAGAGTAATATTTATTGTTAAAATGAATTGTTTAATTTCATTGATGATTTAAATATGCATATAAATGTGTTGATAAATATTATTATATAAATAAATGATAACAATATACAATGCACAGACTTTTGCAAATTTATGTGAGCACTGTATTAATACACATATTTTTATAATTGCGACTTAAATCCAGGCTATGAATAATTAAAAAAAGATCAAAGAATAATTGCAAAAATCAAAAAAGTTTTGTCTTTCCCCTTTATATTTATCTAGCACTTTCCCAAGGTTTTAGTTCATTTGCTGAAGCCCTTACAGATGGCTATCTTATGTATATAGTATAGTGAGATTTTAAAACTAATTAAAAGAATGCAAGAAAAAACAACAAACTTAGATTCCCAATGTGTTGAACTTATTGTCTTAGAGTTTGTTGGTCCATTAAAGCAATTGAATATTGTTGCTGGTTTGTTGGTAAATATTTATTGAGATTTGGGCAATCAAACCCTTTAGATAAAAGTCTAAGTTTTTTTATTAATATTTTTTTTAAATTAATGATTTAAAAATAGTAAAAGTTTAAAATATAACAAATAGTTAAATATCAATAATTTATAAAATATATTATTACATATGCTGTTTAAAAACACAAAAATTTGAAAATAAAAAAATATTATATGTTGAATAGAAATGAACATTAGTCAGAATTAAAATATCAAGTAACACAATTTAAAGTATCAAATAGCACTAGCATAACTTATTTGTAAAAGATTTGGTGCGCAGAATTGTAAAAAAATGTACATTTATTTGTTTTGAGACAATCAAAGGCACAAAAATATTTAGTTATTTTAATACTTAAAACCTTTTTAAATATTTTTAAATTTTTAAATATATGGATAAAATAATTTTTGAGATTTAATAATTGTTTTGAACTATAACTATTCTAAATTAAGAACCACAAACGCAATTTTACTTAATTTTATTTACTTAATTACTTAAATTTATACTAAAAATATAGAAGTTATATATATAAATATAGAGTTGATGCTTGTTTTTGAAAAAATTAAATTTAATTACTTTGAAACTTCATAATTTTTTTGTTGCAAACAACTAGTTATAATTATAAACTAGTATTAACAAATAAGAATTTGAAACAAGTGCTGCCTTAGGCAGACATTTAGTTAAACCAATGAAGATAGATCCAACCTCATTTCTATCCAAACACATTTAGTTTTTCCTGAAAATGTCATTGCAACTAATGGTGTAAATAAATATTTTTTAAAAATATCTAAATGCAAGAATTGAACTCTTAACTGGTTAGTGAGTTTAAGTGAGCCCAGGTTAATTTGGCACAATCCCCTCTGTTCCCAGCCAGAGAATTTTTTTAAAAAATATTTTAAAAAACAACGCACAGTTTGATTTTTTTAATTAAAGATCATTTCAGTCGCAACTTTATTTTCAAAAAAAATTTATTAAAATGAAAAGGTTGGATCCATCTTTATTAATTTGTCTAAGTTTTTGATATCATTGGTTGCAATGACGTTTTCACTATATGTGTTTGAGGTAAGGGGTCGTCCATAATGTACGTACGCCAAAAATTCTGAAATTTGACACCTCCTCCTCCCCCCTGTTGCCATGCGTACTTTTAAGTCCCCACCCCCCTTAGGGTACCTCCTCCACCTTTTTTATTTCAATAAATTTTTGTATTTAAAAAAAAAAAAAATACGCGGGGGGCGAAAAACATATAAAGTATTTATACGATCCCAAAGCCCTTTATTAGTGGTAAAGGATTCCAATTTAAAAAACATCATTAAATATATACAAATATAAATTTAAATATAATTATATCTTGCAATATTGAAGAGATTGTTTGGCTGAGTAGATGATGTTATGGGCAGTGACAGCGGAGATCCAAGTTCGATTCCCAGTAAAGTCCTATTTTACTTTTTCTGTTTAATGAGGCGCACCAAATAAAAATAAACTACACTTGAGGCAGACGTTTTTTTCAGGCACCCCTCTTTAGTAAGGCCGCAAGAAGAGTTGTATTGAAAACAAAGCTTTAAACCCAGTGCCAAGTGTAGGCTACCCATACCCCATAATTAGAGGGGGTGCGGTGTTGTGGGAGAGCAGCAAATTTTATGCCCTTTTGCTATTTTATTTTAGCAAAACCTAGTGCTAAAATTTGGAAGATTTTGAGACTCTAATGACACGTTTTTTTATTTTAAGGGGAGGGGGGTCTCCAACCTATTAGCCATTGCACTGCTAAAACCTGTTTTTTGTTGACTCAAAAAATAGGCAACCTATTTTTTGCACATGCATGCACACATGCCACTCCTTATATACTGGCCCTGAGTATACTCAGGGCCAGTATAATAAGGGGTGGCATGGGCACCTGCAGGATTTTTTGATATTTCATATAAGACACTTTCACAGATTGTGCAAACTCCAAACTTAAGTATGTTTATACCTATGCCAAATGAGGAGACCTTGTAAAAAATTGGTATGGCGGAGAGTTGTCAACAAATAGCCCTAAAACGCCCCCCAGCGCAAACTGTAGTAAAATTTTTAACTTAACGATCTAAAACTAAATTCAAATTTATCGACAGAATTTAAATTTTGTTGAAAAATATTGTAAATTACAAAATGTCAATGTAAATGTCAATGCAAAATGTACAACCCCTCATTTATTTATTTTTTTGGGGGTCGGGGGTCGGAAAATTTTACTACATTAGTGCCGTCACGCTTGGGAAGGGAAGGGGATGCAAGCATTTGAGGGCTTTTTTGTTCGCAGACAACTGCCTTAACAATTTTTTGCAAGGCCTCTTCAAATGGCATAGGTATAAACATACTTAAGTTTGGAGTTTGCACAATGTGTGAAAGTGTCTTATATGAAACGTCAAAAAATCCTGCAGGCGCCCATGCCACCCCTTATATACTGGCCCTGAGTATACTCAGGGCCAGTATATAAGGAGTGGTATGTGTGCATGCATGTGCAAAAAATAGGTTGCCTATTTTTTGAGTCAACAAAAAACAGGTTTTAGCATGTGTGTGCATAGAGAGAAACAATACCTTCTACTTCCTTTACAGTACATCTTTTTATGTTGGCAAACTAGGATAAGTTTCATAGTTAACTTTTCTATTGACTAGCTGGTTAATTGTGTAAAATTAGAAATTCAAAGTACATACTTTTAAAATAAGCCCTTTCCCCCCCTCCTATCCATACGTTTTCATACACTTTTTGAAGCCCTCCCCCCTCCCCTCTATGAGCCTACATACTTTATGGGTAACCCTTAAGGGCAAATAAATTGACCAAAACTAGTTTTGGTCCTATTTATTTAACTGTAAGCAGAACATAAATGTTGATGGAAAATTGGCAGATGAAAATTTAATTTGCTATGGGACGTGATGTCAAATATGTTAGCATATATATAAAAATATGCTAACTTATTTGACAAATAAGAATGGAAAAGTTAATTAGTAAAAAAACAGTATAAAAAATCTAACTTGAGCTTTTACTGTCAGTTTCTTCTTTAGCAAAATCATCAGAAAGAAAATCTAAAGTTAAAAAATTTAATTTATAAATCAAAATTTTCAAAGTAAGTTATAGGTTGTTATAACTAATTTTTTTTTATTTCATTTTCTGTAAACAGGAAGTTACATGAACTACAATATTTTTAAAAAAATTAATTGTGTAAAGAATTCTTTAGAATATAGATAATTTTGGTTTAGTCATTTTTTTTCATATTTTTTTAAAAAGTACTTATTTTCATGTTTGTATTGAGAAACTATATCTTATTTTTTATTTATTAATTTTTTTAAAATCTAAATAGGTGATTATTTTAAGTTTTTTTTACAAACATTCAATTAAGTCTCATCCTTTTTCTGTTACTGTTCTTTAGTGCTCCAAAAACTCTTATTCATCTAGTTTTTTTCCTCTAACATCAGTTCTTTGGAATTCACTTCCTTCATCTTGCTTTCCTGATTCAAATAATTTTGCAATCTTTTAAGTCGTCTGTCAATTGTTATCTTGCTCTACAATCTTCATCTTTTCTCTTCCAATAACTTCCAACTCTAATTAATAATTCTTTTTATATTTTTTGTAACTTACTTTAATAGTGTTTTAAATTCTTATTATTATGTGCAGTTTATTAAAGGGAAGAAAATATTTGTCTATTAATTTTAAAAAGGATTTTCTATATTTGTTAAAACATTTTTGCTGTATGGGGGATTAAACCAAGTTACATTTCTATTTTGCTTTTTTGCAATTTTCTTTTCAAATTTTAGCTTAAAATTTCTAAATCCACTTTTGTGACTTCATAAATATGTTTGGATGAGTTAAAAATATTTTTATTAGAAGAGTTCAGATTTAGTCTATTGTTAATTGAAATAGGAATTTGTTTTAGAACTTGAGGAAGATGGTTTGAATTTACAATAATTTGTCTTGAGGCTTTTTGTAGGGCTTAAACGCGAGTTATCAGAAAGGTTAAAAAAGTGACTTCAAAAAAATTAACATTTTTTAAGTTTATGTTTATTTCAATTTACAATGTTTTTTATTTTTTTTTAAATCTTTTCTGATTTTTCATGGACCTGATTTATTTCATATATATATATATATATATATATATATATATACATATATATATATATATATATATATATATATATATACATATATATATATATATATATATATATATATATATATATATATATATATATATATATATATATATATATATATATATATATATATATATATATATATATATATATATATATATATATATATATATATATATATATATATATATATATATATATATATATATACAGGGCCTTTCAGAGATTTGGAGAGGCCCTGGCCAGTTAAAAATCGGAGGCCCCCAAAGAAAAATTTGCGCAAAACACAACGCAAGATAATGCAAAGCCATTTAAGTCTTCAGATAGATCAGGACTTGATAAATATCTAACTTTAAGACTAAACGCAATAAATTAGACAGACCGTCACACACAGATGTGGCGCCTTTTGTACGTTTTATCAAGCCAACCAGCCAAGAGACGCGCTTGTCTACTAAAAACGTATTTTTGGGGAGGCCTGGGAATTAAGAAAGTACGACGTATGAGTAGAATGTTACAATGTTACTTTATTGTGAATGTTACAATTCAGATTGTGAATGAAATGATTCGTGCATAAATAATTATGAATTGGTTTTTATTATTTGGTTTTTTTCGATATGTAATTATTTGTCACTATAAATGAATAGTTAAATATGTCACATTTTGAAAATGAAATCTAAAGAAATTCACTAAAAGTAAAACAGAATGAATTAGTTTTAATTAATTTTTACAAACGCTTTTCTTGCTTTTTGTTCTGAAAATGCAGCAATTATATTTGAAAAATCTAGTGCAATATCGCAATTTATATTCAACATAGCAAGTCCATTCAACCATTTCTGCCCCATAGTTGAATGATGATAATTTTTTATCTGCTTTAAAACATTAAATGTGCGTTCGCCCGATGCCGTCGATGCAGGCAAGCTGATAAAAATTTGTAATGCAATTGTAATGTTTGGAAAGACACCTGAAAGACCAAGTCCAAGTATTTTTTCCAGGAATTTTTTTGGTGTGCAGTCTAGTTTAAAATTAGCACCATAGATTCTTTTAAAAAATAAAACCTCATTTTCAAGTTCTTGTGATATTTCTTTGTCATATTTGTGCTGAAAATGTTGAGTAGCCAATACAAGATCTTTGTCATTCAAATTTTTAAACTGCCAGAGAAATCCAAAAAGTTTACAAATTTCTTGTAAAGACTGAAATCGTCGCGTGAGGCCAGATTTAATTGAGTCAATGATGAAAAAATATGCATTGATTTTATAATACAACTCAGCATCATCTTGACTTGGAAAATGACGATTAGTTAAAAACTCACATGAAACACCAATATTTCTTGCAACAAATTTTGACTCATTTAAAATCTTATCAAATTGTTCACGCAACCTTTGAATGTCATTACATAGTTTTTCAATGTTATCTTTTTCAATATCAAGAGTGGTATGGTGTGCCTCGATGATAAGATTTATCTGATGAATCATTGTGAGTAGCTTCATCCAGATAGACGACATCAAAATGCAATCAAATTTGGAAATATACTTTTGAATAGCATTGAGTTCTATTTTAGCCTAGGCTGTTTAATGTAGCACCCCAAGTTCATTTAAAGCACTTCTTACTGAGTTCAAATGTTGTGCAATGGGTTTAACACCATCAATCCGTGCTGACCAAATTTAAAATTTCCCACCTTTGAGGACTGCTACTGAATAAATTGTACATTTGCTGAATTGTTCCAAAATACGTTACTGCTTCTTTGCATGATTCAGCGCAATCGACACCAACTAAATTTAATGAGTGATTTCCGCAGCTAGAAAACATACAGTAATTTGCATTAAAAGATAATTTTTCTTTGTTGAAAAATTTGTAACTTATTGCGTAATATTTTTTAAAAAGTTCAAAGAATTTTTCAAAAATTTTGTTTTGGAGTTGGAGTTGGACTCAAAAAATTTCAACAACTGGATTCAGTACTTTTTATTTAGGGCTCTTCACCCCTGGTAGCAACACTTCGTTGCAAATTAGACTATTTGTCAGTTGATGTAGCAGCAAGCCAAGAACAAAACCTTGAAGAACATCACTAAGAACAAATCAAACATCTGGTATTTTTAATTGGAATATAATGAAATAAAGAAACTAATCCATTGAGTTTGATATTTATTCATAAAGATCTTAATTTTAACATAAGTTTGTTTTGAGGTACAAAATCAAAAGCTTTTGCAAAATAAAGATTTACTTAACAAAATGGTGAGATGCTATGGAAGACGAAATAATATCAAAAGTCTCTATTAGATTAGTTATGCATAATTCATGATAAAACAAAGCCATGTTGGTTTACAAATAACATATTATTATCTTTAATGTGTCTTAAAATTTTGTTTTTTACAAGTTTTTCAAAGAGGTCAATGAAGTAGGGTAAGTTTTTAGCAAGTAATTTATCTCCTATTTTTTTAAAATCAGACTAATATTTGGAAATTATTCAAAGCTTTTGAGAGTAAACATGAATTTGAATTAAGAAGATTAATTATATCAGGAAGAGTTTCAATATTTTTACCTGTAGTGTCTTTGAAAGAACAAATTCTATTTTTATTTTTTAGCTGTTTGTTAATATATTTGTAGAAAATTTTTGGATTCTGGGATTTTGAAATTATTATTATTTTTTTTAAGGTTTGTTATCAACCCTATGAACAAAAAGTTTAAGCTAAACAGAAATGTCATTGGTCTCTTTCTTGCTCAAAAATTAAAATATGCAGAAAGGTATAACAATTTCATTATTCTTTTATCACATTTTTATTATTGTAAATTTTATATTATTAATTTATATTATAATTATCATTTTACACTAGCAAATAATGACCTTTAAAAGGGTCATGGGAGCTAGGTATATCAAGTTTGTTAACTTTATTTACCAAACTGTTTGACTTGGAGTACTTTTCTGTACTAACAAAGGAAATAAGCAACATCTATAGAATTAACAAAGCAAACAGGTTATCAGGTTACAAAATTTAAGTTTAAGATCAAAATAGCATTATAACCAATTTTCAATTTTAATCAATGAACAAGCATTTTTGATGAAGAAAAACTGTGTGAAAATATAAAAAGAAAACTAGTAGTTTCATTACAATATTTCAATGTGCCTCTAGATAATTTGAAACACCCAGAACCAGAACTTCTTCACCCAAAAGACAATCAAGGCTTCTTTGCTAACTGTCAATGAATCAACATTTGTAAGTATTAAAATAGCACACTTTGTATAAACAGCTTTCTCTACACCACCAAAAATTGTTTTGACAATAGATTCCTTTTCCTTATGAACCACCCTCATGAAGGATTATCAGGTTTGACAGTTAATGTGCCACTGCCAAGCATTAAAAACTATTTAAAAACTTCTTCAATCTGAACCTTTAAATTTTTAGTTGTTGAAAACCATTGAACATACAATGATGAGAAAGTTTTATACAAGTTCACCAAGTTGCTCTCCTTACAACTGAAAGTGAATAACTTTACTACTAAAAAAATTTTTGTTAGTACAAATATCTTGTAATAGCCTATAAATGACATTTAAAGAATATTTAAGTATTATAGAAAATTTCAAATGATTTTCATTCACCAACATCCATTCACTAACAAATGTAAATTAAAATTGATATTAACTGAAATGATTTTTAAAGAAAATCAGTACCAAGAATATAATAAAATTATAAAATTTATTTTTCTACCTGATCGAGTTAAGAAAATTAATTAATTCTATAATAAACTTCAATTAATGACAATGTATATATATTTTATATTGTCAAGAATATTATTTTTTTTTGCATAAACATATGTTTTAGTAACTAGGTACTTTAATACACGAGTCATTCTATATCAACTCAACCAGCATTTTGACAATTGTTCACCACACCATCTCAGATCTTCCTAATATTTTCAGGGCTTGTAGTACATACAAAGTTAAGCAATTTCTGAAATTTTTAGGCCATTTTATCGAAAACTTTCTGAAATATGATTTTTTAAAGTTTTAAGGGTTGTCGCAAGTTCACGTGACTTTTACATTTTCGCGTGACTTTTACATTTTACATTTAAACGTGAATAATTCAAAAACTAAAACAGGTATCAGGCTGAAATTTTTAGCATTTACTCATTTTTTCATGCTGAGTTGAATGATGCTTTTATATCAATGTAGCTTGCATACAATATCCCCTAAAAATGTCCAAGCATTGCACTTTAGACAGTTTTCACCAATATTTGACTCAATATAGCCAAGAACCTATAAAACATGGAATAATGTTTGTCATACCATTAATAAGTATCATATATATGTTTATTATTTTCATAGAAAATTAATGTTACTCAATAATAGTGTACTCATTGTAGTGTCAACAATAGTGTACTCATTGTAGGCACTGTTATGCATCATGGTCATAAGTTTTTGTGCGCATTGCAACACACAGATGGCCATGTTGACAGTAATTCACACATTTCATATTTTACACACTTATTAACCTCAGTATGTACTAGCTATGGTGAAAATTTCATGTTGGTGTCTTAAGCCTTTCCTACAAAATCAATTGCTTGCTAAAACCATATTTCGTTAAGTTTTTTTTAAAAATACTTTTTGTACATTAAAGTGTATTGTGGTAAATCATCAAAGCAATGAACTGTCAATTAAATTATTTTAAAAAATAGTTAGTTTAAGTTACAAAATCAAATTATAGACTGTTTTTATCAACAATACAAGCAACCATGTAATGCAATATCAGCGTATGGAGCCAATGCATTTAACTGTTGGTATCTTATCTATTTATACACAGTTCTACTATCAAACAGTTTCTTAGAATTGTCAAAATGCTCATCATCATAGAAATACTGTCTTGCTGAACTGCCATACAACATTGGTGGTGGAAGATTGCACAGCACATTAGTGAATGGTATCCAGTAGATATCTTCATGATCTGGCCAAGTTAATCTGATTGTAGGTGTTCTGTTCATGAACTTTACCAAGATAACTTGATGTTCATCAGAATGTTCTGTTATGTTATAACCAATAAACCAATCAGTGTCATAAACAACAGCCACAAGCTGTCCTGGATGCAAATCTGTTATACTTGGTGCCGGTTCAACTGCCAGGTCAGGTTCTGATGATACATTGACGATTGTACCCAAGTCATCACATGACAGCCTGAATATTTTCAGTTTGTTTTCACTTACTGCCACAAACCGGTGGTGTGACCGTGTGCCAGGAACAGTTTGAATTGAAGCAAATTGTTCAATCAAACAGCTACGATGCACCTCAACGTCATCTTTTGGTGAAAAAAAGAAGTGAATTCCTGGAATGTTTTTGGTTGCCCAATCGTACATCTGATGTGACGTTAGTATTTGATGTTGCAGAGTTGCCTGCAAACTTGCTCTTGCCACTAGCTTCTTTACTGTACCACCAATACCATCAAAAGGGCTTTTTCCATGACTGGTAGCAAAAAAATTCCACTCCTCTTCAATACCAAAATCTGTTTTATGCATGCACAGATTCTTTAAGTTTTTGCAGTTTTTATATTGTGCTGCTGCTCCATCACTGAAGTAAATTATTTTCTGCAAATCAGGCATTTTGCTCCTGAGAAATGTTAGCACGATTTCAATGAAGGCATGGACTGTACCTGCTACATGTTCACGGTCATCACTTATAATGCAAAGAGACAAGCAGCATAGGTCATTGCTGGGTAGCTCACAATAATACACAACAAATAGATGTAATGTGGCCATGATTCTTCCCAGTGGAAGCCTTGCACTGCATCCTGACAGATTAATGAATAATTTTCTGCAAAATTCAGCAACACAACTGCTGTTCCAACTGGCAAACACTCCTTCAGATAACATAAGTAGGATGACTGTACCTTGGCCATGAAATGATGATCCCTTGTTTTATCAGTTGAAGTACAAAGAGTAGTAATAAAGTCAGCAACAGTCTCACATACAGATTGCAGCTTTGATTGACCATCATGGGTCTATCGTTTGTAATTGATTATGTCATCTAAATCCATATCAGCTTCATCAAATAGCTGTTCAAGAAATGATTTCAGTTCATCAATACCAGAACAAATAGAACAATGATGCAACATGCATTCTCAATTCTCAGTTGAACAAACGACTTTCAGAAGCAAGTCCTTATAATTAGTTCTAACAGGCAGTGCTGCAACTGCAAGTTTCAAATTTTGGTGAGTCTCACAGACACAGATTGCATGGGCACCACTCAAACAACAGTAATGCACCATGTTGGTTGCAGTGAACAAAACTTGCTAAGCCTAATTTTCATTGCAGTTCGTTTTTTGAATTCTACATGCATCTCCTTGAGATTCAGAAGTAGAAGACGTTTTTGTTTATGAACACATTCACCATAAATTCTGATTGGCAAGAATTCCTTTTGACCTGGACACATGCTGGAAATTTCATCATCTTCAAAAAATTTACGTACCCTTTCAAACACATTACTGGGAAAACTTTGTCATGTTTTTTTTGTGGGTATGCCAATATTCCACATGAATTCTTCAGTTCTCTCGCTTGCTTAACAAGTGCCTGGTTACTCCGAATTCCTGTGAGACTCTTTGTTGGCTACAGCTAGATAGTGCTAGTGTTACCATCTTAATTTTTTCTTGCCTGGAAGCTGTACTGCACTTAATCTTTAATTCAGTCACTAGTTTTGTTAAGTCATTGCAACCATCACATTCTGTAGCATCACCTTCATTCACAACTAGATTAAGAGGTACTTGGATGACTTTGGTTACTTTCTTCTAAATCTCTGTTGTTCCAGTTGCAATTTTACATTTGGCATATGAAATTCTAATTCAAACAGGCATTGCATGAAGCTTAACTGGTGTGGAGCCAATGCTTGTTGTACTGTCATTTAGTTAAAAGAGAAGTCAATCTCTTCTATATCGGTATCACTAGCTGAATGTCCATAACTCTGTTCAGATTCCTGGGATGTATCATAATTTCCACAGCTTGAGCATAGCTTCTCACCAGGTTTGATGTGTCTTCCAGTTGTTAGTGTTAGCTCCTTGGCTTTGTCAATACTGACTGCCCTCATTGACTTTGTGACTTTGAATTGATGTTTATTGAATGGATCACAACAACTCCGCTGCAATTTATCAAATTTTTTAAGTAGAACCTGTTCGTGGTGCAAGCATATATTGCAATTCTCTCTTTGTAATTGATCAACAGGCTTGGTTCTTAACATCAACAATTCAAAGTTAGCATTGGATAGTTCTGACAGGTCACGCAAGCTGACACTGCGTGTATGAACTGTCTTGTGGCATTCATCTTGAAGCAACAGTCCAAACGTGCACAATGGTAGTTCAGCCATATTCTGTAAATATTGAATCTATATCAAATATAAAAAAAATGTGATAACATATTTTTATAAAAACATTCTATACTAATTCAACCAAAAAAAAATACAAGTTTACATGCTACTTTCTCATAATTCAATAAAACTGAAATAAAAATGAAATACCTAAAAAAAATTAATACCTACAAAAAATATAATAAAAAAAAAAAAAATTAATAATTGTATATTAATATTATGAAATACTTAAATAAAATATTAAACAAAAAATTCATTTGAAAATATCCAATTTCTTGCAGAATTTTCACCAAGAAGGAGGCAAGACACCAACATGAAATTTTCACTATAGCTAGTACTTACTGAGGTTAATAAGTGTGTAAAATATGAAATGTGTAAATTACTGTCAACATGGTCATCTGGGGGTTGTAATGCGCACAAAAATTGATGACTGTGATGCATAACGGTGCCTACAATGGGTACACTATTATTGATTAAATGAATTTTCTATGAAAATAATAAACACATATATGGTACTTATTAATGGTAAAACAAACATCATTTCATGTTTTATAGGTTCTTGGGTATATCGGGTCAAATATTGGTGAAAACTGTCTAAAGTGCAATGTTTGAACATTTTTAGGGGATATTGTATGCAAGCTACATTTGATATAAAATCACCATTAAACTCAACATGAAAAAATGAGTAAATGCTGAAAATTTCATCCTGATACCTGTTTTAGTTTTTGAAATATTCAAGTTCAAATATTGCAAAAATGTAAAAGTCACGTGAACTTGCGACAACCCTTAAAACTTTAAAAAATCATATCTCGGAAAGTTTTTGACCAAATGGCCTACCATTTTCAGCAATTGATTAAATTTGTATGTACTACAAGCCCTGAAAATTTCAGGAAGATCTGAGATGGCGTGGTGAACATCATTAGTTGAGTTGACATGGAATGACCCACACTGTTCTCTGTGCAAATAAATAAACAATGGTTCCAATCATTGGCATGATGGAAAATGTATTTTTGCTTTTTTTTTTTTAATTTTGTTGATTTTTTCATATACAAAACAAAATAATTTAAGCAACATATACTTTTCTTATTTTATATTAATACATAAATGTTACTTTTTTTGACTACCGCTAATATATATATTTCATACATGATTTCAACTCAACTTTATTTTCACTTATTTATAACTATAAACGTGTATGTATATATGTATTTATATTTGAATATCTATATTTTTGGTAGGGCACTGCGATATTGTTCATCATGCCACAAAGATCTGATTAATCCTAAAATAATGGTAAAGTGCAGATGCAGAAAAAGTATGTTAATTTAAATAAATAGTTTTCTAATATCCATAAATAAGTACCTAATATCGTAATAATCTTTTGTGTTTTAATATTATTGTTAATGTTATTGTTATTGTTAAACTGTAGTTAATTGCTTCTAAATTATTTTAATTTTTATTTTCCATTCTTTTCAAGCTTTTATGTTATACATAATATTTTGTTAAATTATATGTCAGTTAGGTAGTTTTCTTGGGAATTAGGAGAATTAAAATTTAGGAGAAAATCAAAAAAATCTCAAATTGTTTAAAACAACATTTTGCATCCAAAATCATGTAGTTTTATATCATCAATTCAAGGTCTAGTTATCATTTTAGAAAATCACTTAAGAAAATCAGTTCAGGCAGTTGTTAGAAAACCTATGGCTAGAGATTGTTAGAAAACCTATGGCTAGAGATTGTAGTATAAGAAAACAATTTAATGGTCTACAGGAAAATGAAAATTCTTTGTAAAAGTGAAGGCAAATAATTTTCAGCGATAAAAGCAACTTTGAAGTAATAAATTAAAAAGCAAAGCTCTTGGTAAATTTAAAAAAGTAATTGATATATATATATATATATATATATATATATATATATATATATATATATATATATATATATATATATATATGTAAATTAATTTTAATAAAAAGGCAGCATATAACTATTTTTAAATATATTTTGATGTAAAAATATATCAACGATATTTCGCTGACCTATTGTGGTCAGCGCCATCAGTTTAACCCTAACCCTATGCCTGACCTTGATGCCTGGCCTAACCAAACCCTCAGTCGATGTAGTCGATGATATAAAAACCAATTAAATAATACAATAATGACGTCAGTTAAATTTTTGTCAAACTGGGTCCCCATATATATATATATATATATATATATATATATATATATATATATATATATATATATATATATATATATATATATATATATATATATATATATATATATATATATATATATATATATATAAATATATATATATATATATATATATATATATATACATGCATATATATATGTATGTATATATATATATATATATATATATATATATATATATATATATATATATATATATATATATGTATATATATATATATATATATATATATATATATATATATATATATATATGTATATATATATTCATATACATATTTATATATATACATATGAATCAGGCTTGGTTGGGAAGCAGGTGCAATCACACTCAATATTTGACCACGGAAATAATATTTAGTTGCATAAAACCAGCGAGATTTTTTAGTCGTTTTGATAACATTTCAAAAACAAACAAAAAAACGCAACAAGTTTAACTGGACCGTTGAGAGACAGTTAAAAAAAGCTTTAAGCAAAAAAATACAATTAGAGCAAATATTTTTGAAACGTCGTTCTATTAAATTTTTTTTATAAAATTAGGCGACATTTTTTATATAAAGTAACAACTTACTATTAATGATTGTTTAATAAGGAAACAAATGTTCTTTAATTTATCAACAAGTATGTAATTTTTATTTATATATTTATTTCCAGTGCTGGATTGAGGAGATGGGGGAGAGGGGGATGGGGTAGAAGGTATTTTTTTTAGTCATTTTTACGCTGGCACATAATAAATGCTACTAAAATAATGCGGCCCGCGGCCCTGAAAAGTCCAACAAGATTCAACCAGTAAAATTAACGCTAGATGATTTATTTATAAATAAAAAGGTTTTTTTAATAACTGTTTTATGCTTTGCGTAGTTTGAAAAGTTTCACACATTTGAAACTATTCTTTTTAGTAAGATGAACAAATGAAATAATTAAATCATTGAGTTACTGTAGAAATTCAATTAATTAGATAGAAATTAACTAAAAACGTTAAATTACTTAGTGAGGAGGAAGCGGAACAGCTTCACATTACCGCTGATAATGTTTAGTGAGTGGGCTTTATAATTTTAATTAGTATTTAAAACAGAAAAGAGTTAAGTATAACAAGTTTGTAAGAATGGCTGAAGCAAAAATAGTTGAAGTTATTTAACCAATTTCTAAGAACTTAAAAACTTTCCTTTCTAAGAACTTTAAAACATAAATTTAAAACATTTATTTTTGCAAACAATTAATGTTAGTTTAAAACATTTATAGCTTTGTAGATGTGGCTTTGAGAATGACATAGTATTAAAAGAAAAGTTTTTTTGATATATATTAAAATGAGTATATTGAGTATATTGTTAAAACAATTTATGCCAGAAATCTCAACAAAAACATAACAAAACTCAAATAATACAACTTTTTAAAATAATTCAACAGAATACTCTAGAACATTCGGTTAGTATTTTTTGAATACTCTAGAAATTTCCGCTAGTATTTTTTAAACCAATAGAAATAGTTGTTAGTAGATGTGACGGGTTTTTTGTGGTCGCGAATTTTCTTTTTTTATTTTTCCGCACAAAGTTTGAGAACATTTGAGTTTATGTATGTTTCCGTGTAAGTCCGTAATACAAAATATTCTAAGATTTACGATAACTTAATAATTATTTTGCGGACAAACAAGGAAACTTACGTGAACTTGAATGTTCTCAAAACGACTAAAAAATCTGGCCGGTTTTTTGCAACTAAATATTATTTCCGTGGTCAGTTATTGAGTGCGATCGCACCTGCTTCCCGACCAAGCCTGATATATATATGTGTATATATATATATATATATATATATATATATATATATATATATATATATATATATATATATATATATATATATATATATATATATATATATATATATATATATATATATATATATACTCTTGCATGGTAGTTAAAAAGAGTTTCCCATAAACTGTAGTTTTAAAGAGCGCGTTAATAAACCAGACCAGAAAAAGTTTAAAAACTTAAATTTTTTTTTTTTTTAAATGATAGACTGCCTGCCCAAACCAAACCCTCAGTCGATGTAGCAGCACTCCCTTGCGAGTCAGGCTATTTGTCAGTCGTTGTAGCAGCACTCCCTTGCGAGTCAGGCTATTTGTCAGTCGATGTAGCAGCACTCCATTGCGAGTCAGGCTATTTGTCAGTCGATGTAGCAGCACTCCGTTGCGAGTCAGGCTATTTGTCAGTCAATGTAGCAGCACTCCGTTGCGAGTCAGGTTATAAGATAGTCGATGTAGCAACATTTACGCATCTTTTAAAAATGTTTTTTAATAAAACAAAAACAAAAACACTACAAATTAAAAAAAAATTTCTAGTCGTTATTATTGCGGTTTTTTGAAAATTTTTTGAAAAACAATTAAATTTAATGTACTTCCGCATTAATTTAATTGCTTTGACATTTCGACGACAATCAAATACAGCTTAAGAGACGTGGTAATTAAAATTGTAGTCGTAAGAGACTTTTTTTACATTAAACGACTCTTTCGACTACACTATAAGGATATATATATATATATATATATATATATATATATATATATATATATATATATATATATATATATATATATATAATTATATATATATATATGTATATGTGTATATATATATATATATATATATATATATATATATATATATATATATATATATATATATATATATATATATATATATATATATGTATCAAGGACTACTATACGAAGGACACGCAAAGTCGATTTCCTGACTCCTCTAGCAAAGGCCAGTCAATATTTCTCACTTAACTCCTAAATAACTACAATTGGCTTAAACAATGTTTCATAAAATCAAAATTCTGAAATACGATTAAAATAATTTTACGTTATTGTTAATAACAAAATCAAAACTTAATTTAAAAAGCTTAAAAGATCGATATAAAAAACTTGTATAAAAAAACAAAGAACATATTATTGACACAATTTATTTATAAAGAAATAAACATATAAAAATCATATTCTCTAGAGACTTTTAAACAATGTTAAAAATTTTTTTTTAAACATAATGAATGTGATATAATTTGGTAAAGAAATAAACAATACAATATTTTTTAAGTAAAAAATTTAAAAAGAAAGATTCACTACTCAGCAAGGCGTGCCTTCTTAATTGATGTCTGATAAAGACATGCATTTTTTGCTTGGTCTTTATCAAAATTCTGAATTTCATGCAGAAGAACATTTGCCAAATGCCTAAGACTCTTTGATGATAAACCAAAATTATAATATGTGTCCATTATAGATAGAATGTTTAAAAGTCTTTTTCTACAACATGCTCTGTTCTTTGTTTTTTTTACAAGCATAAACCAATTCTAACTAGCTGATAAGTACACTCATGTGGAACTGTCAAATAGCCCCTTGAAACTTCTTCAATAAAGTCTTTAGCTTCATTTGTTAGTTCAGGTTCATCATCTAGATAAACTAGTTCATCTTCACATTTTTTCTTAAGCCATCCTGCTACAAAATAAGCAACTGTTGGCCTAATTTTTACCTCGTCAACTATCAAAATAACATTTTTCTGTTTTATTCTTTACGTTTTCAAATGTTTTTTGTAAATCATGGTCAATGTTAGTGGCAGAAATTATAGTTCAAATGTTTTTTGTAAATCATGGTCAATGTTAATTATAAATTATCGCCAACAGTTGGCCTAATTTTTACCTTGTCATAATTATATAATTTCTGCCACTAACATTGACCATGATTTTGTAAATCATGTAATTATGACAATTATATAATTATGACAAGGTAAAAATTAGGCCAACTGTTGGCCTAATTTTTACCTTGTCAACTATCAAAATAACATTTTTCTGTTTTATTCTTTACGTTTTCAAATGTTTTTTGTAAATCATGGTCAATGTTAGTGGCAGAAATTATAGACTGAAGCTTTCATTTACTTGGAAGGACTAAAAAATCATGAAGTTGATTGTAGTTGCAGTTATAAAAAGACTCGATTGCAAAGCAATAATCAGCTATAGAGAAACTTTTTTTAGACAAGAGTTTGAGTTGTCTTGTAATAAAATTCATTTTTTTTGTTTCTTATCATCATTTAATTCAAATTCATTTTCTGAAAGAGTATTTGTCATCTTTTCATTAACATCATTAACTTGCAGATTATAATTATGAACTAAATTGATTGCTTCAAAAAATTGTGAATAGAAGATTAAGCCATTGTTTGGATTCAATATATTAGCTAATGGAACGGAAATTCCATGTTTAAAAGCTGAAAAGGTTAGCGGTGAACACAAGGTACACTTATCATAAACAATAATCGTCACAAAACTCTCTTTGAAATCTTTTGGCATAAAAATGCATATGAATTTATCGTCTTGTCGAGATATTGCTATATTTTTATACTTTTTGTGCATCTCATTGTCAAGATAAAAATCAGAAAACAAATTTATTCTATCTTTTTTGATGAAATAATTCAATTGCATGTCCTCAGGTTTAGATTAGCGAGGCACAGGCTTTGGCATTGGTAAACAAGAAAAAGGAACATTAAAAATACAAGATGCACATGCTGGTCGAGTATAGCCACTAGGCAGCTTAATCATTTCTGTATTTTCAGGCCAATGTGTTTCACATATAAAAAATTTAGATGGCTCAATAATAAAATTTTTACGTAAAGGAAGAACATTAATCCATTTCTGTTTCTCAATTTCATCTTTCGGTATTTTAAAAATATATGACACTTATTAAGTTTATTATAATTCCCTTTACAATTTACAACGCCACATTTGTTCACCATGATTATGGTTAAAATAAAAAAAAAATGTTACAGGAACGTTAAAGAACACTTTAACTTTGATAAAAATAATGGCCTTCACTAGCGGAGTCAGAAAATTGACTTGTGTAGCGGAGTCAGGAAATCGGAGACAGGAAATGCGCATCCTTTCATATATAGTAGTCCTTGATATATATATATATATATATGTGTGTGTGTATATATATATATATATATATATATATATATATATATATATATATATATATATATATATATATATATATATATATATATATATATATATATATATATATATATATATATATATATATATATATATATTAAGGCGGTTCATAAAAAACTTTTTTGTGAAAATGTCTGCTCTAAAGTTGTTAATTTACTTCAATGGAGTACACATAACTATATTCAAAATTTCATCAAAATCGGTTCATATCTTGACCCTCCTCCATTGATTTGAAATTTCTGACTTTGCGCAACAGGAAAATGGCCCAAAAAACTACAATATTTTTCACTTTATTACAAATTGAACAATATTAAGCAGGAATTACAATGTTTTTCTTATAGTATGCATTTTAATATCGATATTATTTTTTTTTCACAGATTATAATGACAGGTTTAACAAAAATATCTACCCGAATGGCAACAGATTAGGTTGCCTTTGGTCAGCCGGCAGAACTGCCTGTAAGCGTACTTCCAACAAAATTAGATACTGCTAGAAGCTTCTTGTATGAGAAACAAAAATGGATGATAGAAACCTTTGGAAAAAAAAAACCTGATAATTCTATTATTGCAGAGATTATTGTGTCACAAGTTGAAAGCATTTATAAACGTGCATCCTTACTAACAGTTAGAAAAGACACGATTAAGGACCGTGTTCTCAAAGTTTATGAAAAGTGTCAAAGTATAATCCAAATACCAACTGCCAGAAAGTATAAGAACCCAAAGTGTCCAAATCCCAATGATCTCTCAGACTACTTTAAAAATAAGAAAGTTGAGTTTTGCAAAGAAATTTTTGGTTTGTTTGAAGTTGTTGATAATGAGAATGTTCCCAAGATGGAGAGAGATTTTCTCGAAGATCAGCGATCTATTTGAAAGATGATCATAAGTAGTACAGTGGATAAAGAGGCTACAAGAAAACAACAGCAGAATGAATCAAGTAAGAAAGCCAACGACACCAGGGGTGTAAAAGAACAACAATGATGAGAATCGCAGTTTGAAACTGTTGCTTCCGTGAGTGTAAAAATTGGCAGGGATGAGGACAAAAACTCAGAGGAAAATAACAGTACGACAAGTCCAAATATTAATACAGATTCGGACTTGCAGAATAAACCAAGTACATCGACCTCAGCCTCAAGTACTGCTAGTGTTGTAGAAGTTGCTTTGAAGAATTGAGGAAGAGATCTTTGACAGATAGCAGAAGCAAAGGTGCATAATTTGATCTCTTATAGAGCAACTGCTTCGATTGTTAATGCCACTCTTCGTATATACAATATTCTCGAAATAGTTGACAAATCAAAAGTTCGCAGAGCTGTTAATGTAATATTAGAAGAAGACGATGCAGTACCATTAGTGGTGTGTTGTGGAATTGGTTACAATGGTGGAAAAGATGTGACTTTAACGAAAGAGAGAGTAGGTGAGAAACACTATCAATCAAGGAAAACTGAGGAACATGTTACAATAGTTTCACTCCCTGATGGAAAGTTCCTGGATCATGTATCATCAACCAATGGTAAAGCTATAACTGTTTCTAAATCTCTTGTCCAGTTTCTACAAGAAAAAAAATATAATTGATCAAATTAAAGCCTTGGCATGTGATGGCACTAACACAAATGTTGGAGCAGAAGGGGGAATAAACCATTTGATTAAAGTAAGCATTGGGCGTGCTTTACAATGGAATGCTTGCCTTCTGCACGCGAATGAGTTACCATTAAGGCACATCATCATTGAGTTGGATGGTCCAACTGCAAGTGCAAACACCTTTCCTGGACCTATTGGCAAATTACTACCAGATGTCTTGAACTATCCTGTCATCAAATACAAATGCTTTGGTCATTCTCAACCTCTATCTAAAATGTCCAACGAAGTTTGGAAGGATTGGTCGACACACCAGAAATACATGTAGAGAATTACATTAGCGCTCATTTCCGGGCAATTTGATAAGGATTTAGAGCATCTGAAGATTGGACCATGTAGCCATAGTAGGTGGCTTACGATTGCATGCCGTATCTGTAGGCTGTATGCGAGTACAACAAAACCATCAACAGTTTTAAACAAATTTGACTGGATATACTGTGAATGTTTATGCTCCTATGTGGCTTACTGTGAAGTATTATGAGCTTGGGACTAATGGTCCTCAAAATCTGTTTTTCCTAATACAAAGATCTGAGTTAATAGAAGATGGAGCTGCTAAGAAGTTTGACAGCGCTGCATTCAACGGAATGCTTTTTATGCCCATCCAGAAAATATTTTGCTAGCTGAACTGGCCTCATCCCGTAAGCCAGACCGCATAGATGCTGGTCAAACGATCATTGAACCCAGAGCTAATCACCAAGATCAAGCTTCTTCTGTACGTCTTTTTCGGGTGCCTGAACTAAATTTTAAAGCATCAAAGTGGCAGCTAATGATTAAGTGGAGTGAAACTGACATACTAGAACCTCCTTTGATTAGGAACATGTCAAATAGCAAATTATTGGCCCTGGTTGCAGAACCTCTCATTGTACCAAAATTTAAATGTCACACCCATATGGTTAAACGAGCTGTGAAGGAGTTTACAAAGGCCAGTCAGAAGGTATTAGGTACGAAGCGACGGGATTCAACAACAAAAAAATCAATGGTGAATCGCGCCAAATATCCATAGCAGGAATCAAAGAAGGACTTTATCCCAAAATAGTCATATTTTCCCTTAATAAAAAATATAAATTTTACTATAGACCATGTTGTATTACTTTTAAATCTGCATCTTTTATTTTTCTTTAAAAACATTGAAATTCCTGCTTAGTATTGTTTAATTTGTAATAAAGTGAAAAATATTGTAGTTTTTTAAGCCATATTTCTGTTGCGCAAAGTCAGAAATTGGAGGAGGGTCAAGATATGAACCGGAGGAGGGTCAAGATATGAACCAATTTTGATGAAATTTGGAATATAGCTATGTGTACTCCATTGAAGTAAATTAACAACTTTGGAGCGGACATTTTCAAAAAAAAGTTTTTTATGAACCGCCTTATATATATATATATATATATATATATATATATATATATATATATATATATATATATATATATATATATATATATATATATATATATATATATATATATATATACAATTCACATTATTATTAAATCGTATTTTTATAACAGACATTAAAACATACAACAACTTCACATATATTAACCTAAAACAAATTAATAATAACCTTAACTACTAAACAATTTCCGTCCCATAACGATCTAAAATACTAATATAAACCGTAAATTTTTTCTAAACACATTGTAGCAAAATTAACTTTTGACTACTTGCCTGATAATTGTGGTAACACATGAAACTTTAAATCGCAATATAATATTATAAATATTAGCATTTAGCTAATTCCTGATACTACAGGTAACAGTAATATATATACTATAAAGCTCTAGTTTATCTATTGAGCACTCTTTAAAATATACATTATTATACATGATAATATAAAGAAATCATCTTTAATATTTACATATATGCACCCACGTATATATATACATATATATATATATATAAATATATATATATATATATATATATATATATATATATATATATATATATATATATATATATATATATATATGTATATATATATATATATATATATATATATATATATATATATATATATATATATATATATATATATATATATATATATATATATATATATATATATATATATATATATATATATATATATATATATATATATATATATATATATGTAAATGTATGTATATATATATTTTTTTTAGATCAAGTAAAAAGTGTTTCAGAGGCCGATGTGGATTTTAACCTTTTAAACATTTTTGAAGTTGGTCTAGAAAATGAAATAAAAGGGTAGAAAATTTTCTTTTATATTTTATATATTTTATTTGTTTTATGTTTTATTCATATGTTGTTATTATTTATTTATTATTTTTAGTATATAATAATTTTATATTAATTTTATAACATTATTTTATCTTTTTAGTGCTTATTCTTTAACCGAAGATTTATTTCCTAATGGTGAAAAACCAAAATTTGACCAAACTGGAACATTTTATTGGTGTGAAAGTAGACCTTTTAATGTTGCTAAAATGGTGATTTCAATTAATTTAACTTAAATAAAATAAAAAAGTAAATTATAAATTTATAGTTTTTTTATAGAGTTTTAATATTCACTTATTATAAATTGTCAATTGGTGGTCACATAATAAGCATAATATTACTACAAGTTTTTTTTTTAAATTTTATAAGGATCTTAACTTCTATGTGAAAGCTTAACATAACTTGTAGTTGGTGAAAAGTTCATAGTCTAACAAAACTTGTTGTTGGTAAAAAGCTAAATATAAGTTATCAATAATGAAGTTCATAGCTTAACATAATTTTTAGTCAGTGAAAAGCTTAACATAGCATATAGTTAGTGAAAGCTCATAGTACATGAAAGTTTAACAGTCTTCAATTCTTCTAAAGAAATATAAAGTTCTATGGACTAGTTAGTGAAAAGTTAAACAGCTTTCACAGCTTTTACGAGACCTTATTGCATTTTTATTTATTAAATAAGCATTTTAATTTTTAGATCTTTTTTTCTCTTTCACTTTTTTGCACTTACATTTATTTATTTATTTTGACGCAGTGTATATAAATAACTGTTTTTTCAGAGGTAGACAGTGTATTACTTGAATTTTTGAAGAGATTTCACATTAAGTGTAATTACATTAACTATGAATTTGGTTAGTTAAAATATAAATGAAAAAGACAAAACTCTAATCAAATGACATTATCAAATAAAAAGTTTTTTTGACTGTTAAAAATATTTTTTTTTTTTATGGGTACCTGGGTATTGCCTAGTTGTTCAGCTAGTATCTGGGCCAATTTTCGATAGCATTTCTGATTCCCACTCAAAACCGTGTTTGAATTTAATACTGAAGTTTTACTTAAAATTTAAATTCAATAATAGTTTTGAAAATTTAGACCATAGAAGAAGCAGCAGCAGAAAAATTCAAAAATCATGTGGTAGTTTTAGTTTTAATATCTAAATATGTTTCTTCATTGGAACTTCATAAACTTGTAAGTTTTTATCCTCTTAATAAATATAATTTCTGTTTTTGTTAGTTGTAAAATAATATGTTGTTTAATCAAGGTACCTTAAGTGTGTGTGTCATATTATTATACATGTATACATACAACCCTATTTTATATATCGGTGCCGGTCTTCAAGTAGAATATATTATGAATACATTATGGCGCTACGAGTATGTAAAGAAATGTGCAAAAACTAATTGTTTTTGCTTAAAGATTATTTTGTTTAATCTTTTGAATCGCTATATTAAAATAAATAAAAAATAACAGAAAGTGGTAAGGGAGGCGTTTTTCCTCCAATGTTAGATTTAACTGTAGATAGATTCGCTGCATTTGGCTCATGGATTGAGAAATGGCATTATTATAATTTGTTGTCAGATTTAAAAAAGAAACTACCAGCATATCAAGCTGCTATGTTAAGATATACGTTTTCTTCAGAAACTTGAAACATTTACAAATCATTAAATCTAACCAAAAATGAAAAAATGGATCCAGCTATTATATTGGAAAAAATGGAAGTGTTTGCTAAAGGTATTATTAATGAGACTTTAGAAGACATTAATATTTTAAACGTTTTCAAGAAGATGGTGAATGCTTTGATGATTTCTTAACCGAAGTAAAATTACTAAGTATAAATTGCAACTTTTGCAATACTGAAGACTGTTTTGGCAGTTTATTAAGAGATAAAATTGTATATGGAATACGGTGTGACAAAGTACATGAGAAATTACTTTCTTAAAAAATTTTGACACTTGATAAAGGAGTAGAAATTTGTAGTTCTTCAGAAAAAGCACAAGATGGTGTATCTGAATTGCAAAATAATAACAGTGAAAGTGTTGACCTTGTTGGAAAATAACAGTGCAGTAAAAACAAATTTAATTCACCCACACAGAACAGTGATAATAGAGATTTTAAATTTAACTCCTTGGTATGTAAATTTTGTTTAAAAAAGCATCCTTTTATTTGGGTATTGTGCTCAGCATGGGGTAAAAAGTGCAGAGACTGTAAAATTATGAATCACTTCTCAAATAGTTCAGTTCGCCTAAAAACAAAATCAAATATTCCTGATAGATGTGTTAATCAACAGAATGAAAGTAACAATTTGTCAAGTATACAGCATCCAGATGCTTTGTTTTTAGGAAGATTTGGAGCAGATTGTGCAGACAGACCTTAGGAAATACAATTAAAAGTAAAATATGGAAAAATAACATTTAAAATTGACACAGGTGCTGAGGTCACAGTTATAGGAACTAACCATTTAAAAAAGTTTGGAATTAAAATTAAACATTTTAATTCCAAAATATTTTAGTGAATAAACAAAATGGACTACTTCATGTTTGTACTGATTTAACACAATTAAACAAAGACACCAAACGTGAATTCTATGATCTGCCAAGTGTAGACAATACATTGGCCTAACTTGGAAATAGATGTAAATATATGGCCAAGTTAGACGCTAACTCAGGATATTGGCAATTACCAATGGATATTGAAAGTCAGTTAAAATGTACATTTACATTTTTGACACTTTTTGGTCGTTTTTGCCCAACAAGGGGGCCATTTGGATTAACATCGCTCCCTGAAATTTTTAAGTAAAAAAATGGATCAAGTTATTGATCGTCTAAAAGGAGTGGTTAAAAGTATGGATGATTTCTTAGTCTTTGGAAATACAGAAATGAAATATAATGAAAACCTTGTAGCATTGCTAAATGGATTTGCTGAAAATGTAATTAACCTTAATGTAAAGAAATGTTTATTTGATCAAACAGAAATGGAGTTTTTAAGTCATAAAATATCATCACTTGAAGTAAAACCATTGACCAAAAAAGTTAAAGCAATAAAAAATTTTCCAAAGCCAACAAACATTACGTCTTTACATAGTTTTTTAGGCATGGCCCAGCAATTATCTAAATTCAATCCATCGCTTGCTAAAGTAGCTGAACCCTTGTGAGATCTTTTGAGTTCTAAATCAGCATGGTTTTGGACTGAAAATCATACAAGAGCATTCAATGAGAAAAAACAGTTTAACTAATCCACCCATTTTGACGCACTATGATGTTAAAAAACCTGTAAAAGTAAGAATAGATGGAAGTTTGTTAAATGGACTTAGCGTAATAGTTTACCAGAATCATAATGGTATATACAAACCAATTGATGGTACATCTTGGTTTTTTATGACAACTGAAAAAAATTATTATCCGATTGAAATTGAAATGTTAGCAGTAACATGGGGTGCACACGAATGTCTAAATATTTGTATGGTTTACCAAATTTTATATTAGAAACAGATCACAAACCATTAATTCCAATATTAAATTATCGTTCACTTATTAATATGTCTCCATGAGTTCAAGGTTTAAGAATGAAGTTGTTAAGAATTTCATTTAGTGCAGAGCATGTTGCTGGTAAGTCTATTACTGATGCAGATGCAATGTCTCCTGTACCTGTATTTAATCCTACAAAAGAAGATGAGATTGCAGAAAATGATCTGAATTTGTATGTTAATTCTATAATAAAAAGTATGCCTGCTACAGAGTTCTAAATGACTATTTAGTTCTAAATTAAGTTCTAAATGACTATTTAGAAGAAAATAAGCAAAAAACTGCAGAAGATGAACTTTTAAAGCAATTGCAAAAAAATATAATTTTTGGATGGCCAAATTCAAAACCATACTTTCCAGCAAATATCCAACCTTATTGGGATTTTAAAAATGAAATAGGTAAAATTGATGGACTGTTGTTATATTAGAATAAAATAATAATCCCAAATAGTATGTGGAAAGAAATTCTTTCAAAATTGCACGAAGGTCATTTGGGTATGGAGAAATGCAAATGTCGTGCATGTCAGAGTGTTTTTTGGCCAGGTTTAAATAACCAAATTGAACAGTTAATTAGAAAGTGTGAGGCATGTATGAAGTATCTTCCATCAAAGTCATAAGAGCCTCTGCTAACTCCTGATGCCCCTACACGGCCATGGTAAAAACTGGGAATTGATTAATAAAAACTATTAACTGACAAATAAAAACTATTTAATTATTGTCAATTATTATAGCTTGTGGACTGAGGTGTTTTTGCTTCCAAATACTGGATCAGCAAATTTTATACAAGCTTGTAAAAAAACTTTTTTCTAGAAATGGTATCCCTAAGGAATTAGTGTCAGATAATGGTACACAATATAGTTTGAAAGTGTTTTGTCAATTCTCTCAACAGTGGCAATTTAAGCACACAACAAGTAGTCCACATTATGCACAATCGAATGGTTTAGCAGAAGCAACTGTAAAATCAGTAAAACTGTTGATAAAGAAATGTTGTATGTCGAATGAGGACATTTCTAAAGATATCAATTTTACATAATACTCCAATAAAATGTGGTTTATCTCCAGCGGAACTATTACATGGACGTCAACTGAGAGATAATTTACCCAGGTTTCAATCTCAAAACAAGGAACAGTCGAAATATTCAAGAGAAATAGTCAAAGAGAGAGTTCAATCTAAAAAATACCATGATAAAAATATTGGTGCTTTTGAACCATACGTCTATAGACAAGATCAAACTGTTGCAATTCAAAATGAAGTAACTCGTAAATGGAGTCTTTGAGGTAAAATAATGAAATGCGTTGCCCTTAGATCATATGAAGTAAAATTAAATCACAATGGACATATCTTTCGTAGAAATCAGATTCAACTTAGAAAAGTTCACACTATATCTGCTCCATGGGTAACTCGGGATAATGTTGCTATAATGCTAAGAAGGTAAGCTATTCTGTTGTTTGAAGAATGCAATAGTGGTACAACGTCATCAGAAATGGAGAGCATGAATAATATAATAGAAAAGAACAATTTTTTTGAAAATATAAAAGAAGATCAAAGAGTTCGATTATCAAGTCGTGGACAAAGAATAAAGAATAAAATACCAATCGATTATGAAGATTTATGAATTAACTTGATTTCTTGACATTTATATATATATAGTTTGTTTATTAGGGACATGCATCATATTATTATACATGTATATATACGACCCTATCTTATATATTGGTGCCGGTCTTTAAGTAAAAAATATTATGAACACAATAGCGTGTAAGCTTTATGGTATAAAGTGTAAGATTTTAAACATTTGCTAGTTTTATTTATATTAAGATTTGTATATATCAAAGTGTTGATAAATACAAATCCTAAAACACCTAAAATATATACAGAAGGCTGTGGAGTCAGAATCGTAAAGTCAGAGTTGCAACATTTGTCAGAGTCAATAAACAAAATTGCAACTCTGACTCCAATAGTAAAACTTCTCAGTAATATTTAACCTTCAAAGAATTTTTCATATGTTTGGCATAAAAAAAATTTTTAATTAAAAATTTTCAGAGTCTGAAAATTTCAACAATTGGAGTAGGAGTTAGAGTTATTTTAGGTGCTAGTTTTGTATAAATTTTAGGTGTTACCTTTGTATATATTATAGGTATTACCTTTGCGTACTAGTAATACTTTACCATCAATGTTGAAAAAAATTGTGATATTAGGTGATGGTGATTTTCTGCAGAAAGAGGTTTGTCTTCTATTTTTTACTAGTAATTTTATCATTTTAGGTTAGTTATATATTTTTTTTATTATAAATGCATTTTTTTTTAAAATCTTCTGCATCAATGTAAATAATTATTATTAGTGGGGAAGATTAGCAAACTTTCCAGATGTTTATAATGTTCCTGTAAGTTATTTTATTGACATTTCAAGATTTATTTTAAAAATGTGAGAATAGTTCTTTATATATATAATTTTAGTTCTTTATATATATAATTTTACTTTTTTTATTGCATTACATTTTTATTGTTATTTTTTTTTGTTTTGTTTAATATTTAAAGTTGTTATAATTAAAGGTTTTTTTTGAATGAAAAACATTTTTATAAAATAATATTTATATATACTTTTAATAGTATTTTTATTTTAATTGTGCTTATTTTTACATTTTTCTAATATTATTTTTTTATCTCAACTAGCTAATATATAATAATAAAATGAAATAGCCATGAAAATGGGCATCAATCTAGTTTTAGGCTTTAAAATGTATTTGACAATAATTCTAAAATATTTGTCAAATTTTGAAGTTCAATATATCAAAAACATATAAAAATTTGTTTAATAAATATTTTAGCATTGATTTTCTAGTATGAACAGGAACAGCATGTTACAAAAATAATTTTGATTAGCTCCCTAATAAACTCTGCCGGATTCTTACAAATGGTGTCTCTCAATCAAAAAATAAGCCTATATTTAACTTATGTTATTTTTTCTTACTATTGCAAATACATAGGTATTTTTTATAAACATGGTAGGCCTCATTTTTGAAAATAAACTTTTTTTGTAAACCCAGGGTTTTAACGATTGATAACCAACTATAACTGTTATTGAGTTAGATTTTGATCGTTACTCCCTTAATTTATCATAAGTGTGTTTGTATTTTGATCCTTACCCCCTTAATTTATCTCCTAATAGTTTTGTTTATTAACTATCTCCTAAAATAGTTTTGTTTATGTTGGTATATAATAAAGTATATTGTGTTTTGTTTTTTATTTAGGGATCACCTTTTAATCGACAAGATCTTCGATCTATTAGTATTCAAACTGCTGACATGTGCATTTTATTATCACCTGGCAACAACAAATCAGAAAACATTGAACACCAAGCGCTATCAGATAAAGAAGTTATTTCACTTACTCTTAGTCTAAGAGGTTAATTATTTTTTATTTTTCCATTTTAAAATTACCATGTTTATACAAAATTCTTATTTTTTTTTTAGCAATGAAATTTGATAACTTGACGAAACCTTTGGTATCTTCATCAATCGCAAATCTAAAAATTGAATCAAATTTGTTTCAAAAAAGTACTATGCCTATTATGAAAGAAAACGTTTTTGTTGAAAATGATAAAGTAAAAATAAAGACAATTTCTGAACTGAGTAATTTTTATTTTATTTCTAAACTTAGAATATATATATATATATATATATATATATATATATATATATATATATATATATATATATATATATATATATATATATATATATATATATATTTTCTTTGAAATGATTACATAATTTATTATTTTTTAATCTTTCTGTTCTTACTTTAATTTCACAGTGTCAACGCTATGTTTTTTATTTTTCTGTTTTTAATTTTAGTTCACAGTGCCAACGCTATGTTTTTGGATCAAGATGACATGAATATTTATGATGATGAACATTTTTATCTGACTCAATCATATGCTTGTGGTTCTATATTTACTGTTTCTGTTTTGGATTCATTAGTTAGCGCAGTATGTCTTTACTGCCTTTTTTATATTAATTATTTTTAGAAGTACAAAAAATAAATTTATATTATGGGTAAGTTTATTGTTTAATAACAAATGTTTTTCCAATATTTGATATGGAATTAAATAAATAATTAAAACACTCCTTTATTTATAAATTAATTCCTTTATATTTATCAAATTGCTGACTTTTTTTTATACTCAACAATAATAAATTTCAAAAATGGTGACTCCGCCTAAAAAATCATAATGGCTTTCAAAATTAGTTTTTTTTTTAATGTTTATAAATTTTGTTTTAATGTATTTTTTATTTTAAACCATATTGGGCTCCAAGAATTTTGTAATTTTTTTATTTTTAAACTTTTTAAAAGAGTTTGCTACAAAAAAATCTTTTAACTAATTGAACCTGAATTTTTTTAACTTATTTTTTTCTCTGTTTTTTTTTCCTCTTTCTTTTAGTAATATTTCTATAAAAAGATTTGAATTTAGAGTTCTTCGTATTAGTTTTTATCAAATTTAAAACTTTTTTTGGAAATATTATACTTTTTAGAAGAAAGAAGAAATAAAAACAGAGAAAAAAAAATAAGTTTTTAATTTGGAATTATTATTACTTAAAAAAAAAGCTCCTTAAATTGACAAAAGGGCCTCTAGAGACCCTTTTTGTCAATTTAAGGAGCTTTTTTTATATTTACTTTTGGTATCAAAGATCCCCTCCCCCTTCCCCCACCAAAAATTTCTGGATCTTTCACCGTCCTGGTATTTGCTAAATTATTATTTGACTTTTTTGAAGTGTTCGAGGAGAAATTACTTATTTACCACTAATTTATAGTTAATAAAAAATTTCTTAATAAATTAGTGGTAAATAAGTTTCGTAGTACTTTCTAAGAGAAATTCAGGCTTTTCTAATAAAGAAAGAGCTAAAAAAAAATGTCGTTCATCAAAATGGCTGCATTTTAGTAAACTTCTCGGTAAAAAATATTCTATTTTAATTTTTCGTGGCAAATATATAACTGTTTGGCAAAAATTTCTCTTATGGAAAGCATTGAGAAAGTCATTAATTTGCCCACAATTCCTTCAGTGATAAATGTTGCGGTATTGGCAAAGGATATTTGCATAAAACAGGGTTGAAAATTCAGTACTAGATTTGCTGTAGGCATGGTCAACCTTGAGCAAAAAAATGGCAATAGCCATTTTTTTGCTCATGGTCAACCTTAAGTAAAAAAAGTTGTGGAAATGTTAATAGTAATGAAAATGGAAATGTTAATAGTCACAAGTAATGTACGCATAATTTTTTAAAGTTGAATTTTGAATCTAAAAGTTTAATACTTTTTAATTTCTTAATTTTAAACAAAAACTAAAAAAATTTGTAGAAAATCTTTTTAAAATCATTAAAAAAAATGATTTTGAAAAGATTTTCAATTTCATTCAGAAAGTTTAATTTGTTTTTGATGGGAAACATTTTTTTAAATAAATAAATTACTTAGTTATAATAGAATTGAAATTCTTCTTTGGTCACCACTAAAACCACGCTATTGCAGTTTCAAATGTATTTGAATTTTGAACACTGAATATGAATTGTTATGAATTTAAAATTTTGAACAAAATTGAGAACTCATAAGCTTCACGTATACGTGAAGCTTATGAGTTCTCAATTTTGATTTTACTATATTGCTTTTTGTAACTGTTGAAATATTTTTCTATTATATTGGAAGTGCAAGATCACGCTCAATAACTTTTAAGTTTTAACTGAAAAAGCTTTCGGCCTTCCGCTTCCATGTTGAGCTGTGTTTTTGCTTTTATTTCTGTCAATCAAAGTCTATTTTGGTATATTGAACTTGAATACACACTTTCTTAATGATATTCCTTACTCTCAATGGTATTTTAAAGCATTTTTAACATCTCCTTTACTTAGTTATTGTTTGGTATTTAGTTGATATTGTTGATTTTTTTATTTCAGTTTGCAGGAGATTAGTATTAGCATATTAAAAGAGATAAATGGCATTTTTTTATAGAAGTAGAAGAGAATCTAAAGACGAAGTAGTATCGTAGATCATTAATTTATTAATTACTAACATAAATAATGATCGATTATCACCTTTTCTAGATCAAATAACTTCCTTATTTTACAACATAAAATAAAAATATTACCAATTAGATTCAGAATAAAAAGCTCTATTAAACAATTTTAAGAAATTTTTAAACTAGTGTATTATTTAAAAGAAGTATTAAATTAGTCAATATGGTTTTTCCAGATTGATACCCAAAAAAAACCCTTTTACCCTCACAAAAATATCCAACAAAAATATTTTTTATATGTTTTAATATATGTAGTCCTACTCTGCTTTTATATTATGATATTTCTTAAACCTTTTTTTTAAAATAAAAGTAAAGTTGACCGATTTAAAAGAGTGACCGAAAATAGACTAACTTACTCTACTTCTAAATTAGATTTTGAATGTCATTTCAAAAACTCTTTAAAAGACTTTATATAAAAACTTTTTTTAATTATTTAGACGTACTTCGATGGCTGCATTTTGACTTTCCTACAAAATCTTGTAACAGGAGTTGTTAGCTCAGAATTAGATTCACTAATTGCAGAAGGAAAACCATCTTCGGGATCATTTGAAACGTTAGACATTGCGGCTTTAAGAAACAGATCCCGAATAGCCCAATTTAGTTTAATTGATGGTCCGCTCTCTGAATTTGGGGTATAAACAATTTAGTTTTATATAAACCTTTTATTTTTTTGTTTATTTTAGCTATTTTTTTAATTTTTCTATTTTCTTTACATATCTTCTTATAAAGTATAGAATCATTAAAGATGTTTGATTTTAATTGTTTAATTAAAGATGTTTGATTTTAATTTTAATTGTTAGAATATATAAGTGTCATTAATGTCCATTAATTTGTTATATAAAACTGTATCAGATAATTTTTTAAAATATTTATTTATGATTGTGTCGATTTATCATTTATAAATATGAAAATTAATTAGTTATTTTAACTATTTTAAATGACAAGTTTTAAAAAAAAATTAAAATTAAATCAAATCTAATATTATTCATAATTATGTCACTAAATTAGTATAAATAGTTAAAACTGTTTTTTAGCAATGTGGAGTGTTTGGCGATTTATTTTTGTTTGCTTTGCGCACTTATAACATGATATGTTTGGGTTTATTTCGACAACGTGATAAGAATCAATTGGCGACGAAAAGTTCAAAAAGATATGTTATTACTTTTCCTGAGTTTAACTTTGTACTTGCGCCAACCGATCTTGTGTTTGTGATAACGCAATTTCATATCGTTAAAAAAAAAGTAATAAACAATTTTTCTAAAGCAGGTTCTGTGGTTAATATCGAATAACTTTAAGTTATCTATATTTAAATGTCACACAACATATGAGGAATGGACTTGCAAAACCAGACAATTCACTTTTTTTTTTTTAAAAGACTTAGCAAAGTTTTTTTGTAGTACTAATATTCCTACATCTTTACAAATAAAATAAAATTTAAAAGCGACTATTTTAATAACATTTTACCTGCCTTAAATTATTCTGTCCGTGCAAAACTAGATTAAAAAAATTATTGTCGATGCAAAAATAAAACAAAAATTTTATCTAATCAACATTCTGTTTTAAAAACGTTTTTACTAAGTTTAGAATATTAGGCTTGTCTTTTACAATTGATTTAACCATGTAATTAAGAATTTTATTTTTAATATATGGTCTGATCTTATTACCTCTCTCAAGGAACAAATAAAACTATTTGCAAAACATTTATCTAACTCATCTCTACAATCTTAATAACTACACTTTTTCTGTCGTCAAAGAAAACAGGTTAATCATCGGTTTAATATCCAAATCATTACGGCATCCATTGTCATAAAGTCATTTCTCACTTAAAATCTTTTACAGGCTGTGGGGGCGGACAGCTTATCACCCTCTTACTAAGCTTACAAGACTCTCTTCATTACTTTTTAATCTATTTAACAAGTGCTTAACTAAATCTTAAAATTTTTCTGCCCTCTGAAGATTCTTTTAACTTCTCTTAACATCCAACCCTTTGTAACCAGTCCTCTTTCAAAGTCTTTGAATGGTTTTTCCAACAAACTTTTATATCTCATTTTAAGTCTAACTTTTTTACCATCAATACGGGTTTTGATCTTCTTGTTTTGTTGGTTATATCAGAAAGGTGTTATTATTTAATGGAAGCGGTGAGACAACGGTTATTGCACTTGACATAACAGAAAGGTGTTATGCATTTAATGCATTTGCACTTGACATAACAGAAAGGTGTTATGCATTTAATGGAAGCGGTGAAACAACGATTATTGCACTTGAAATAACAACGGTTTTAATAAAATCTAGCTTTCTGGATATCTCCCAAAGCTTGCTTGATATGGTGTATCTGAAAAAGTTGTTCAAAAAGTTGAATCATTTCTTTTTAATCCTGTCACAGTTGACAAGTGACGGTACGAAAAACTAAAAATCTAAGTCAGGTTTTGGATGTCGTAATGGTTTTAAACCATTGAATAGATATTACAAAACACCTTGGAATCGTTTAATTACACTTAAAATGTAAATAAATAGGCAATTTATAGGGTTTAAGTGGAGGCTTAAGGAAGGCTCGTGTTATTACATTTTAAATTACTGTTTTTATTTTTTAGGTTTAATGAGAGTCGCAAGAAACAAAATTCATTAATTTATTCAACTAAAATTTTTGTCAATAGATAAAAACAGTATACTTGTATATATATTTATTAAAGAATAAATTCTAAAGTTTCGCGGAGTGAAGTTTGAGGTTTAATACAGTAAAATTCTTTTTGCATAAAGTAAGAGTGGGCTTGAAGTAAACGTACGTACAAAAAATTGTTAGGAAGAATTCTGCATGGCTTGAAAATGATTTTACTCTCATGTTAATGGAGGAGAACGAAAATAAACTATTCGGTAGTCTTACATTAGCATTTAAAGGTTCATCTATAAAAATAAAAAATAAAAAGTTGGAACTTGGTAAGCCTCGAATTCATGCAAGCTATTTTATGCTAGTGGAAGGATAGTAAAAGAAAATATGCTCAAATAGCGAGAAAGCTGATAACAAAGAAGCTGAGCTAGGTCATTTTGATAACACAACAGATAATGAGATGAGCAAATCCCAATATCAGCCTTCGAGAAATAATATCAAAAGAAAAAATAGCAACTTATATCTATTATGCATAGATGTAGGTGAGGTAAAACCAAAATCATTAGTCAGTGATAACTGACTAATGATTTTGGTTTTAAAACATTTTTTTTGTTTGATTATTATTGATTTCTTTCATTTGATATTTATTAGTCTTGAAAAGTGTGATTGAAAAATCCGCAATCTTTATAAAGATTGTGTGGGTTTTAACAGTCACACTTCATAGGACTAAAAAAATATCAAAATTAAAAAAAAAAGACTTATGTTCAGATATACTTTTTTACTTTCAATTGATAAAATATATAATAAATTAAAATGAAATATAAATCAAAATTCGAAAATCAAAATTGAACGATATCAATAAAATCAATAAAGTTTTTAGGTGTGGTTCTGGATGAAAATTTAACCTGGCGGGACCACATAGGTCTAATTGAAAATAAAATATCAAAAAATATAGGTGTTTTGTATAAAGCCAAGCAGTTTTTAAATCTTGTTTAAAAAACTTATATTTTTCTTTAATTCATTGCTACTTAAATTATGCAAACGTTGCTTGGTGCAGCACAAACGCAACAAAAGTAAAAAAACTGTTTAGTAAACAAAAACAGGCTATAAGGATAATTACAAACGTAGACCGTTTCTCTCACACTAAAACATTGTTTAATAAACTTAATATTCTAAATGTATATAAACTAAACCTTTACCATATTCTTATCTTCATGTTTAAACTTGATAAAAAAATATCACCAATGTTATTTAATTCACTTTTTGAAAAAATAAACCACATATACCCTACCAGATTTTCAAAAAACAATTACATTCAATCCAAAACACATTATTCAGCAACCAAATTCTCAATTGCAAATCGAGGTCCTAAGCTGTGGAATACAATATTAAATAATGAGCTGAAATCTAATTATTCTTTAAACCAGTTTAAAACAAAACTTAAGCAATTACTGATGATACATGAAAATGAATTAAAGTTCTTCTAAAAAGCTTTTTAAACTAGCAAACAAAAACAAAAATTAACCTACTAATTACTCTTTAATATTATATTTAATATTCTAAACAATAGTCTGCTATTGTAAATGTATTTCTTATCTTATAAGTTTTGAATTTACAAACGATTTTTTAAGTTTTATTATTTGAAATACTAATTACTAAAAATATTGTAAAATTTTATAATTTCAATTTTTATTAAAAAAAGTTATTGTAAATTCTTTTTGTAATATTAATACTTATATATCATCTTATTTTACTAATCAGTTCTTAAATATAAATACTCTTTGAATTACTAAATATTTTAAACGTTATATATTTTATTTTTTACATTTTGTTAAAATATTTTATTTGATGAATATGCATTTTTTGGGGGGGGGGGGGGCTTAATGATAAGATGAATTTTGTCTTCTTCAAGCCCCAGTCATGTAAATATTTGTTTTTATAAATTACGAGTGTAAACTATTTTCAATCAGCAAATACAATACTAAAAAAAAAAAAAATATATATATATATATATATTAAAAGTTATTATTATTTTTGAAAAGCTTTTATAATAAATATCCTAATTACGCAAAAAGAAACAGTTAACTGTTCTTTTATAATAAATAAAACAATTCTGGTTATATAATGCATATCTCATTATATAAAGATTATGAAAGTAACAAAGAATATAAATTATGACTTTTTTAATTAACTTTTATTACTCTGCCATTATAGATAACTGTCTCGGATATGTCAAAGCTGAAAATAGACTAGTTAATGTAGGCTTTGATAATATAGGAGCTAAAGTAATACAATAAACTCATTTTTCACGGCTGTTTGAGAGTGAGCTTTACGACTTCTTGTTTTTTTTTTTTAATTTTCACGTAAAGGGTGTTTAAGAATGTCCATTAATTACGTCAACAAAAAGGGGGGAGGGGGTCTGAACTTTTTTGACTATTGTTAACACGGGGGAGGGGAGGTCAATTAAAGTTGACATCAACAATTTTGAGTTTCATTGCTTAAATAACGGATAATTAGACTGAGTTTGCAGCATAGTTTCTTTGCATGGGGTGGGGGGGGGGGGGTAATCAAAAGTTGACGTAGTTTTATAGGAGGGGTCTCTGGAAATTTGACAAATTGTTGACAAGGAGGAAGGGGGGAGGTAAAAATTTCAAAAAATTTGTTGACGTAATTAATGGACAGCCCCTTACTAAAATATTTATAACTTTTGAAATATTAAAGATAATTTTGTTTTGTAAAAGGAATAAAAATAACAAAAAAAAAAATGTTTTATCATATGACATTTAGTATATTAGTAAACAAACTTCTTTTAGTTTAGAAAAAACGCGACAAATGATGAAATTGGCTGAACTTTAGTAATTTGTTGTTAATTTTTATCAACAAAAAAATTGAAAATATATATATATATTTCTAATATTTATTAACAAGTTTTAAACATTATTAGACTATTATTTAAAAAAAAATATATTACTCAAACTTGATGTTAATTGAAACAGAGATAACTCAGCCGTCATGATTACGTTGTTTCAACATTGAAATTCGGTTGAAGCGTTGTTTCAACGTTGTTCAACTACCCCGGTGGGAAATGAGCTAGCGACTAGCGAGCGACTAACTAGCTTTATAGCGATTTTCAAGCGATTTTTTTTTTCTTATTCTATTCTTTACTTATGTCTCCAACATCTTTAAAAATTCGATTTTTAGTGTTGAGTCTATTATAATTATGAGAATAATTGAACTTTAAACATTGCGATTTTATAGCAATGTGTCGCTAGCTGCACATCGTAGCTTTGTAGCTAGCTACAAAATATCTACAAATCTATGGCAGGTTGATAGCTACATACCAAAAATTTTTTTGATAGCGATTTTATCACGATATGACGGTAGCTACAATAGCCTGTGAGTCTTTAGCTTATTAAGCTAGCTGTCCTCGTAGCCAAATCGCTGTCTTTATCTTTACAAATATCGATAGCTTTTCGCTAACTTAAAAAAGCTAGCGATCCTCGTGGCTAAATCGCTGTCTTTATCGTAACGATTAAAGCTAGCATTTCGCTAGCCGATTTTCCACCGGGATGTCACAACGTTAAATCAACGTTACGGTTTAAACGTTAATTATTTAACGTTATTTCAACGTTAAATCAACATTACAGATTATTTAACGTTATTTCAACGTCATATCATTGTTGAAAAAAAATACAATACACTTTTACACAGTTCCGATATAAAACTTATGCGCGCGCAGAAATGGAAGTAAAAACGTAAACATTATTTCAACGGTTTAAGTTATAGAGATTTGTAATAAAATATCACATCTGCCTAAAATATTACATCCCCCATAGA